GGGGAGGCCAGGGGATTGTCAAGGGCGGGGGGAGGGGGGGAGGACACATATGTAATACCCTTTGTAATACTTTAAGCAATAAAACAATTAAAAAAAAAGAATCCAAGTTTAAGAAACTAAATAAATTTATATCACAAAAGTTTACTTTTGTAAAGATAATTCAGGAATGTTATGTCTGATGCTATTCTTCTCATCTAAAATGCAAATATGATATAAGTCTACTGAACTCAGAAATAACAAGTATCATATAAGCATCATAGCATTCTCATGTATGCACAAGTATGAACTGATATTTATTAGCTCTCTATTTTATGGTTTGGTTGTGCTGTTGACCACTTCTTTGTACAGTTTCCAAAAGTAACTCATGGAATAAAATATGCCTGAGCGGTGTCCAGTTATAATCCACTAGAGGCCCAGTGTATGAAATCATGCACAGTTATCATCCCTAGGCCTAGCCTGCAATCAGGGCCATCTTCCACCCAGTCAACACTAACCACTCGGTTCCCTATGGCTCCCCATTCGCCATGCTGCGATCAGAACCTGCAGGCCAGGAGGTGGGGAAGGGACTGAGAGGTGGTCAATGCACTTCATAGCGACTGGTTGAGTGGTCATTCTGGTTGCTGCCCTTTTATTATATAGGATAACTTGGGAAATTTATAAACTCTAAAAGGATTTCTTTCAGGAAACTCCACATTGTACATCCCATAAATTTGTACAAGAAAATTAATCCTTCTCAGAAAGTGTCTTTAAATGTTGGACTCTATAGTTATAAGTCACCTTCTAGGTGGGAGGAATCAACCAGTAAAAGAGCAATGACATTTTAAAGTATTCAGATACAAAAAAAGTCTTTCTTCAACTTTTCTAACCTTTTCTTTTGGTATATGCTAGCTGTACCTTCATAATGAAAATATTTCATTCCTTCACATGTTTTTGTATTTCTTATTTTTAGGGATTGCAGGTGACTGGAAGAATTACTTCACAGTGGCCCAAAATGAGAAATTTGATGCCATTTATAGGAAGGAAATGTCTGGAAGTACACTGCAGTTCCGCACAGAACTTTGAAGAGCATACAATGAAAATCCAGAAGAATTGACCTGTAATTTGTTGAAACAAGGATAGTTGTGCATAATCAAATGGGGTTTAAAAGGGACAATTGTGCTTTTAAAACTTTGATTTTCCAGTGTCATTAATCAGTTCCCAGTTTTGCTCCTGACTCTGAGCTTCCAAATTTTATAAAGTTAAGACCAATCATTACCTTTTTGTAGACTATTCTTGCCTTTTTCTAGTACTGCCAAGAAAATAGCTATCCTACTCAATCTCCATATATTTGGTCTAAAAATGAAGTTTCCCTCCCTATTTATAAAGCCCAAGAAATGTTTGCACACTGAAACCATCTTTCCTAGCGCTGCCCCTATTTCCCTTTGTTGAAAACTTGATTCTGGACACACAGTTCCACGGCTGTTTTCTGGGTTTCAATATGTTCCCTGGATCATAGCTCATGGCCTTGTGGTGTCTCTATTTTGATAACATACTTCATGTCCCACATCATTTAGTTTATATTTTAGAAATGTGTGTGTCCCTAATCTAAGTACATCCCCAAATTTCTAATTTCTGAGTATCTAATTTCTGAGTTTACTAAGGTGAAAGGTCATCAGTCTCCCTTGGACTCTTTCCTGAGAACTGGACATCTACTCTGAGACCCTGACTGGGGGCTGGAATCTGTTTTCTGGGGAGAATCCTTCCTAGATCTTATCAGCCTCTTTATCTTCTGAGAATTGTCTATTGTTGGACTCTGGTCTCCATTTGGGAACTTCAGTTTATTTCCTCTTGTGTCTGAACAGGTTTGGATCCCTTAATACCCCAGAAAAGATCATAACTGAGGATAAAATTTCCTGGTGTCTAAGGGATGTTCTCTAGGTTGAATATCCACTATGCCATACCAAACATCCCTTCTTTCCAGTATCTCTCACTATACCTCTCAGTTTGGGCTCTTCACTGTTTCCTAGGAACATCTATTTGTTCCACCTTTGCCTTGGAAGTAATTATTTTTTATCTTTCTATGCAGCAAGACCTTTGCCTGCAAGTCATATTTCATGTGCCAAGTTAAATGCCAAGCCTACGTTCCCAAACTCAAGCTTGGTTCAAACGCTGTGGGCACTTATTCGTTTTGGGGAGGAGTTCTGACGCATGACAGACACCCTGAGCCACACCTGAGATGGCTACAATAACTTGGGTACAATATTTTTTTCTTTATAGGCAAATCTCTGCTGTCAGCCACTGCACCTGGAATAGCTCTCAAGCTTGTAACTTGTCTTTTTCAACCCCCATAGGGGACTGATCTAATGCCAAATGGAAAGCTCCTAGGAGTGGTATAGCTATGCTCTTAGAGATAATTGTTTTGACATTTATTATCTATCTTATGTATTATAAATTATTTCGGGGAATGAAATGTGTGTGCATGTTCCTTAAAACATTTTAATTAATCTTGAATAGCTAAGAGTATTGTGGAACAGTTCCAACTTTCTAGAATACTCTTGGCAACAAGGAGGTAAAGCCAATCATGTATCCATTTGCTTTATTATCTTTATTCATAATAAGCTAATGTGGTATGGACTTCTGATGCTATGGTCTATTTTAAAAAATATATCTCTGGACTAGCCTTTAATCTGTGTAATAGATTGGCTACACTAACTGCCTCCACTAGCAGGATAAAATAATTTCCACTTACCCTAGTTGTCCTTTGTGGAAATATGTCTCTGTAACTGGATTTTCTCAAAAAAAATTGAGTGATCTTTAGCTCTGCTCCAGGTAGTTTTCTAGGCACTGTGGATAGAGTGGAGAAAACAGTAGAATATAAATTGTTCTTATATTTCTTACAGGTCGTTGCCTTTTATCCATGTTTTAATTTCTGATTCAAATGGCAACATCCAGGTTCACTCACTTCTCAGGTTGCACCACACAGTAGCACTCCCATTAGAATTACAGCTTTAAAAGTACTGAATATCTTTTGTGACTATCCAGAGAACTGCCACCAAATTAATTTCCCTGAAATAGTGAATTTATCATTATCCCCCCCCAAGCAATCATTGCTATAAAAAAAATAACCCACTTAGATGAATCTCATTCTATTTCCCTCTAACCCATGGCACCTGATGTGAGGACAGTAATAGCAAATATGTGGCGACAATGTGATTACTCCCTCTCTCATGGCACCTCACTAATCAATTCAAGGAATTATTTTTTAAGAAGCCAACGTATGGCTTAAAAAATCTTTTCATTGTGACATTCAAAATAAGTACTGGAACTTGTTTAGAGTACCTATTGTAATAGGTACCTATTATGAATCTTTGTCAATATTGGTAAAGAGGAAAGAGGCAAAAAGACTCTCAAAGGAACAGTATCTTGGATTGTTCTTTAGTGAGATACTTAAACTTTAGAAAACCAAGTAAATAAGATTTTAGTTTTCTCATCTGTAAAATTAAGTAATCAGTTTATATTTCTTCCATATCCTAAAATTGGCTGACTGCATTTGCTTTCTGTGTAAACATGTGTAAATGTATATAGGCAAATGCATGTTTATATGTAAATGTATACATATATCCCATTGGTTCTGTTCCTTTGATGAATATAGTACATATTCTAAACTTTATTGCTGTTCTATGTTTTCATAAAAGTTTTGGACCAAGTCATTTCATCACTCACAGTTATTGGATAAGTATTGGGAACTTCCAATGAGTTGGAAGTATTTAAAGCTATAAGAGTCCTTCCCTGTAACTTTTCTATCAGATAGTGTGAAACACAAAGCATTCAAACTTATATGCCAAAATCTATTAGCAAGGAAGTCAAAATATAGCCATACTTCCTTGTTCTCTGCCCTATTAAGCACTCAAATACATGTCATGAAAGATGCTCCTGAGTGAGATGGAAAACTCTACTTAAGAGTAGTGAGAATCTGGTGACCAGGTCAGAATTCTGTTGGTAGAGCATCATTCTAATTGTCTGGTGATCTTAAAAGTTTAGCTGTAGTACCTTTAAAAGAATAGCAAAATGACTACCAAAATTTATCATCTAATCTTTAATTACCAATGCTACATATTTACTTAAAGCAAATATTTGACCTGATAAACATTTCAAAAGTTGGAAAGTGCTATTAATTAATATATACTGTTTCCAATTCATTATTTCTGATAATGTTTTTTTTATTGTGTGCTTTAAATAACTTTTCATTAAAACTTTGGGGATTTATAATAGCATGCTACATTTGACACTTCCACTTACTGGGAATGCCAGTCATATTATCACATGAGTCACATCAGATTTATTTTTATTAGTATTTTATCATTTTATGGACAAGAAGATCATGTAAATTCAGATAAAATGTAGGATTCTACAATATTAATAATCCATCACCAACATCATAGCTTTTCCTTTGCAGAACTTGTATAATTATAAACCAATTGACTTAACACGTTTTAGACACATTGGAGAAAATATGAAGTGCTCTTGAGTTCTAAGGTCAGTGTATTGGTTAGCATTCAACTTGACCCTTTAAAGAAAAGATTATACAAAAAAAATTATTATCTTAATAGATGAACAGACCTTGAAGAAAAAGAGAAATGAATAGATTTGCCATTTACTAGATCTCAGTAATACTTCTATTTTTATTGTCTAGTCTTAGTGGCATTTAAATGCAAAGGTTTATGGATCATACTGCAAGGAATCCCTCGGGTAAAGGGTGCTTCAGAGGCTGCCAATGGACTGGAGATGTGGCAATAGAGGCGATGGGCATTTGCCCCACACCCCCTGGTTTCAAATATACCAGTTGTGCTTTTTTGTTTCTTTTTTTTTTTTAAATAAAGCTTCCATCTAGAACAGTTTTAGATTTGTATAATTATTCCCAAGATAGTACAGAGGATTCCTGGATACCCCACACCCAATTTCCCCTATTAGTAGTATTTTATATTAATATGGTATATCTATCACATTTAATAAACAAATATTTGTATGTTACTATTACCTACAGTCCAGACATTGTTTAGGTTTCCTTCATTATTTTATAATGTCATTTTCTATCCCAGGGTCCCATTCAAGGCACCATGTTACATTTAACCATCTTGTCTTCTTAGTTTTCTCTTAGATGTGAAAGTTTCTCAAGCTTTTCTGCGTGTTTTTTTTTCTATAATCTTGATATATATTTTTTCGAGTTAGCTATTTTGTAGAATGTCCTTTATACTAGAGGCTCAGTGCACGAAATTTGTGCACTGGTGGGGAGTCCCTCAGCCCAGCCTGCACCCTGTCCAATTTGAGACCCCTTGAGGAATGTCCGACTGCCCATTTAGGCCCAATCCTTGTGGGCCTGATCCCTAAACGGGCACTCGGACATCCCTCTCACAATCCACGACTGCTGGCTCCCAACCTCTTGCCTGCCTGCCCGCCTGATTTCCCCTAACCACTTTTGCCTGCCAGCCTCATCACCCCCTAACCACTCCCCTGCTAGGCTGATCAACGCTTAACTGTTCCCCTGCCAGCCCAATCTACCCAAACTGCCCTTCCCTGCCGACCCGGTCGCCCCCAACTGCCCTCCCTTACTGGCCTGATCACCCCTAACTGCCCTCCCCTGCTGGTCTGATTGCTCACAACTGCCCTCCCCTGCAGGCCATCTTGTGGCCACATGAGGGCGGCCATTTTGTGTATTGGAGTGATGGTCAATTTGCATACTGGTCATGACTAATTAGCATATCTGGTCATGACTGTGAGGGCATCGTGACCAATTTGCCGTTTTATTAGTATAGATATATAATATTTTTATCATGGCTATGATAGGATAATGTGTTTTGGAGAAAAAGACCATAGAGTTAAAATACCATTCTCATCACATAACATCAAGGATATATACTAACTATAAGACTTATCACTGTTGATGTTGACCTTAATCACCTACTTGAAGTAGTGTTTATTAAAGTTACTCTTTGTTTTTCTTTCCATATCATACACTTGGAAGAAAATCACAGTCTATAGTCTAAACTTAAGAAGAAGGGAATAATGGTTTGCCTTCTGAAAGGTAGAAATTATTTAGAATTATTCTGCTTGGGAGATGTTTTAAATTTCTCCTGCTATTAATTTATTTATTTATATTAGTAAGGATTCATGGATATTTATTTTATAGTTTTTGTTATAATTCAGTAATACCGTATTTTCTTGCTCAAATTTTTCCAGTTTTGTCCATTGGGAACTCTTTAATTTCCTGTTCCATGTTTTTAGCTGGCTTCAAAATGTATACATATTTTTCAAATTACTGAGAGTCAAAGAAGTTTCCAATTTTATTAACATATATATGAATATACTGTATATATCAATTGTATAGTATAAAATTAAATAATGTATATGGAGTAATTATTATATTTTATATCTTATTAACATTTGCATTGATCATTTATTAGATGCCAGGCAATCTTGTAGAAACACAAGTAAACCTGTCATACATTGAGGAAACTCAAACTTTTGCTAGGCTTTAAATCTAAGCCTGTTTAACTCCAAAATGTCATTCTCAACTGCTCTATGATCCTATAAATAATTATACATAAATAATTTCTTTCAAATATTAGGTATTAGATCACTTCTTAAAACATTACCATAAACATAATTAGGTAATGGTGTCCAAGATGACAGTGGAAAGGTTTTAAGCTCTATCCACTCTCATAGCCCAACTGTTGAAGGGACATTGCCTATAAACCTGTGAAGATTAAGTTTATTACTGCTTTCCTTCTAAGCTATGTCATGTTGTTTCTTGTCATGTTTAAATAAAGATGACAGTACCATAGTTCAAGCTCATATGAGTTAATGTAATTTTTTAGTGTTGACTTAAAAACTACTAATTTGAAAGAAATATCTCCAAAAAACAGTCTCTGTTAAAATGCATTATGTCCAAGTAAATGACTAATAAGACAGTTTGTGTAATGCACCATATTTATAAGATGAGGACTGACTGTACTCTGTCCTGTTCTCTCCTTTAGGGAGGGAGAGAACAAGCTGCCATAAATATTGTGGAGAAACTTCTCATGCAACTTTAAATATGGGGGGGAAAGGAGATAGAACAAAATATTTTCTCACAACTTGTGTTGTCTCTATCCCCTCCTTCCAGTCTTATTAGCAGGAGTACCAAACTTCCTGAGTTTACTGAAAGCTTATATCAAGAAAATACGGTTCTTGTGGTTCTCCTTGGAAATTCTGATAAGATAGCCTGAGACAGGGTGCTCCAAATTATGCATTTTACATAAACATCAAAGCTAACTCAATGACTGTATTATCTGGTGCTATTTCCAAATGATGAAGGTTAACTATTCTTGTTTCACAAGTAACTTCCAGGTAGATGAATGGATGAATTGATGATAGATAGATAGATGATAGATAGACAGATAGATAGATAGATAGATAGATAGATAGATAGATAGATAAGATAGATAATGAACAGATATAATGAATATCAAGACACTTCTATTATATTTGAATTTATCTTTAGAAATGCAAAAAACATTAATCAAATAAAACTTAATTTAAAAAAGGAAGAAAGTCCAAGGAATTATAGAGCTCAACTCTGGGCCTTTGTCCAAACATGCACTGTTTTAAAATAAAAGAAGTGGGTAACTTTTCCAGTACAGTTTGTGAACTATTTGTTAGCTTAAAGAACTAGTGTAGGTTTAATTTCATTGAGAACTTTTTTGCTTAATTCCTGGTAATTATACCTTCCATTGGCTAAAAGCTAAATCTTTAAATAGATTAGTATGTGGGACAACTATATTCTACCATTGTTTTGCCTGAATTCTTATTGACATATTTTGGGCTCTTAGGCTTGAAGCACACTGGGTCTCTACAACAAAGCCAAAATACAAAACGAATAAAGCAGGAAAAGGCAGAGATAGAATATAAAGTAATTACGGATAGAGTAAAATCTGCCAAAGCAGCCTGTTAGTGAAGGTATAGTATTTGAGTAGTACAAAACTTCTATCCCAATACCTGAATTTTCTTTTACTAATGCACTTTTACTATTTTTTTAAGTATAGCACACACACAGACTAGTGTACAAACCTTAAGTATC